GAGGCAGTCAGAGATGTCACATCAGGAAGCTGCAGACAATGGTTGAGTGCACACAGAGCACAAACACACGTCAGCTTTGGGCTGGGGTGTATTGGATCCACCATAAAACACGTGAAGGGCTGAAAAAAGATCCCATCAATTCTTTGATATGAACTGGGATGTCCTCCACGTGTCCCACTGGGAAAAAACCATCACAGCACAAACTGGCACTTACCACAGGCCAGGCAATCCCGATTGGAGGCAAGGAATAAATGCCCCAGCTGGAGGAAGAGCTCCAGCTATGAGTGTGAACATCAACTGTGAAACAAATCTACAGGAAATCAAGATTTAATAGCTTCAGGAGCACTGAAAAAAAAGTTAGTTTGAAGACGACTTTCCATCATTTTAAATCTTGTTGCATTTTTTGACCAAGGATCACTTTTGACACAAGGGAGCCAACGTGCATTCCCTCCGTAACCAAGGGACCAAACTATGCGCTCTGGAAACATTTCTCAAGTGGAAGAGCTACAAGACTCCACCCATTTCTTCCCAGATGCTAGTTAGAGTGGTCATGAAACCATAATAATTGCCACAGAGTAGCTGTATTCATCAAAGCTCCTTAGTTTGGAAGGAAAGCACATTCCTTCCTACGTAGTATCTGGCAAGGCAGGCTGCAGAAAGAGGAACTTGCAGATATCAGTGATTTTTCTTACTTTAAGCCTGCAGTCTAGTTTTGATGTATTTTGGCTACCATGCTGCTGTGAAGAAAGAACACACTCCCAAGTTGTATTGAGGAGTATTTTAGTAAACAGGCTTGCCTGCACATACAAACATCTTTCTGCCTAATTCTGAATCATCACAGAATCATCATCATCATCATAGAATGGTTGGGTTGAAAGGGACCTTAAATACCATCCAGCTCCAACTTCCCCATCACAGGCAGGGATGTCACCCCCTAGATCAGGTTGCTCAGAGCCCCTGAATGCCACATGCAATCACAGATTCTATGCAATCACAGAATCACAGCATGATTTGGGTTGGAAAGGACCTTAAAGATCATCTCGTTCCACCTCATGCCATGGGCAGGAACACCTTCCACTAGCCCAGGTTGCTCCAAGCCCCATCCAGCCTTGCCTTGGACACTTCCAGGGATGGGGCAGCCACAGCTTCACTGGGCAACTTGTTCCAGTGCCTCACAGCAAAGAATTTTTTCCTAATTTCTAATCTAAACCTACTCTCTTCCAGTTTGAACCCATTCCCCCTCATCCTATCACCACCCGTGCTCGTAAAAAGTCCCTCTCCATCCTTCTTGTAGTACCTTCATCTTTCCAGTACCTTCAGGTACAGGAAGGAAAGTGGGTACCTTTAGAAGATGAACTCACCACTCTGATACAACAGATGTGAGTAGAGCAAAATGTTTCCCTTTTTCCTTTACGGAAATAGAAGAACCTGCAGCAGCACCAGCCAGTTACAAGGATAACACCCTAATCCAAGTAACACCAGACAGGGAAGGTCCTGGAGCACACAGCAGCCATCGTTTGGATGCATGTAAGCAGGCGATTAGTTGGGAACCAGCACTTCCCAAGCGTGGCTAAAATACAAATGGACTCATTACACCTCGCCGGCCGCCGGCAGCCTCCGTGCACATCCATACTGATATCCCACTGCACAGGCAGCCCCGGCTCTCTGTAGGGCTGCTTTTCTCATCTGATCAAGATGATGATGAATTATATATAAATAGAGGTATGGTTATCATCTCAATGATCACCTAGAATTTAAGTTTTATTCAGACAACTCGGATCTCAGCATCAGTCCAGGTGCGCTGGCAGAGCTCGAGACTGGCCTCCCACAGACTTTGCTGTGTAAATCCCTGTTGATACCATATCCATGGATTTTCCAGCCATCCCACGCACCTGAGGCCGTCCTCACCCGGGACACAACACCTACCCCCAGCACACAGGTCTTGTTCTCCCTCCTCAGCTAATAAAGACAGAGCAAGAACGGGAAGGACGAATTTCTTCATCAACAAAATGGTCCATCATTTGTGATGTGCAGTTAACAGATGGCGTTCAAATTAACATTCATATCCTTCGAGTGTCTTATCAAACAAGCCTAAACAGCATCTTGAAATTTCCATTTTAAATTTTCTATGAGCTTGCGAGAAGTATCACAGACAGATTTTACTGCTGTCAACTAAAGCTGTTGCTGCCTTTAGTGAAGGACTACAACTATGACTCGAACTAAAGCAGTCCAGCTCCCCGACGTGCCGCTCAAGGCCACCGGGTCACCTGCACAGACCTCACCTGGAAGTGAGCAGCCAGCTCTTAATCACCAAACTTGCCCTTGTAAAATGTTGAGGCAGGCTGTGAGCACCCCTAAAATCCAGAGACAAAGACACAAATTCCTCACCGTCGACCCCTGACATCGGATGCCCTCAGACTTCTGTCCCAACAGCACCCAAAGCTGAGGAGCAGTGGGGCAGAGGGCTCCATGCCTTTCAACATGATGAGGAAGAGCAGTTTTGACTGGGGAAAAAGCATGAGACATGGGACCCTGAAGACCCTGAAGCAATGCAATTATGGGTCTTTGAGGATTCTGACATATTACAAGCACACCAGAGAGCACCAGTTCCCAAGCCCTTGCTCTCTTCACCTCCACCACACACACGACCCCACATGTCTTCCCAGATGGCTCCCAAAGTCTGGAAGGTCTGGACGGTTCTGGATCACAAGGGAACACAAATTCAAAGTCACAGGTCTTTACAGAGAATGCCTTGTCAACAACTTTCCTAATTACATACACCCTGACTGGAAAACTGCCACTGAGCAGCTGTGGCAGCCTTGAAAAAAAAACCTGAACAAAACCCAGTATGTTTTAAAATGCTGTATTTAAGGACATTAAGTCTAAGACAGAGAATGACTACAAAAGTCATCTGATGTGGTAAATAAGCTTGCAATATGTTCCAGTACAGGAAAAATCGCTGGATCTGAAGAATCAGATTGATGTGTTCCAAAAGTTATATAAAATCAGCACGAAGAATGCAACTTCTCTTTTACCAACTCACCTAGTGTTGGGTTTACAAGCTCGGGATGACTATGCTAAACAGCACAGGTCCTTACAAGACTCCAGCAGCAGTTTCCTTCTGTTGAGAAAACCATTCCTCTATTTGAACTAGTTACTAACCCACAGGAGAATTCGGCTCTTATCTTTTGGCAGCTACACTGCCACACCACGCTCACTCAGCAAGAGCCTCATCCAAGTCTGCGATGCTGAAAGTCTGCTGGAAAATCCTCTACACCAAAATGCTTGCTTTTGATTAAACCATCCAGTGACCCTGCAGAAATTAAGAGACTTTCTTCTGAACAGCAGCCCTCTCTCCTCATTAAGTGGTATTGATTCACATGCCCAATATTCTCCTTTTTAACCTGAGTTTTAACCAACCTGCTGGAATCACCAGCCAGTCCTGTTGATCTTCTGGACCCTTTTCCCCACCAGTACCATATTCCCGCCCTCCTACCCCTTCCACACCACCCAGGATTTAAGGAACAGGCAACACGTTGCTGTTACCACGAACTCCTCATGCACATCATCTGGCTCTCGCCATTTTCTACTATTAATCACACCAATTTCTTCTAAATCTTTTCTGCCAGTTTGTACAGTTTGACATCTCTGTTGTGGAAATTCCCAGCACAGGAATACCCCTATTTCCCTCCATGGTAAACACAGAAATCCCTTTGAACGATGGTTTCATCTTCCACAAGCTTTCTCTTTTTAAAAGAGATTATTATTTTCTATCTTAAACAATTTGTCCCTCTTTTTTTTTTTTTTTTAAATCCTCTTATTTCACAACTAACTTGCAGCTGTTCTTTTCTATTTTCTCCATTTGGAGATCTCCACTTCTCCAATTTTGGGAATCAAAACATCTTTCAAAACCTACCAGGCTTCTGTAGGTGCTTTTAAGGTGTGTGTCTGTTTTTTTAATTCAGCAATGACATGAATCAGGACCAACAGCACAGTCTCTATATGTAAGACGACTTTTCATTAGTGGTCAAACGAGGAAAATCCAATTTAAAATACGTATTACCTGAAGTCAAACAGCACCCAGCAGTTATGAAAAAAGGACAAGACAGGTGTTCAGCAAAGCAGCTCTATGAGAAATACTACTGACTCCAGACATGGAAATACTGAAATCCGCTGGGATTCAGAGAAAACCAGTTTTTTCCCAAGACAGCTTCTCATAAGACACCAGGCTCACATCTGGAATACCTGACCGGGAAAGCAGCAGGTACGTCTGGAGCTCCTGAATCATTAGCTCGTGTGGCTGCAGGTGCCACTATTCGGCATTAATTTGACATTTGACAGGCACGTTGATAAAGAAGAACTTACCACAACCATCTGATACCACCAGCTAATTAAAGAGTGCTCAAAATTAACACAAACCCATGGAAAAAGAACACCCGGGAGTTCCCTCTTTGGCAAAAACCAGCAGGACGGAGCGATGGCAGCAGCCCGGCCATTCCCCACTCACCCCTCCGAGCAGCGGATCGTGCGAACACCACGGAAAACAACTCCGAGAGGACGCGGGGACCCTCCGGGAGCGACCCGGGGGGACAGCGGGGGTCAGAGCGCACCAACACCGGATCCGAGGAGCATCCCGGGCGCTCCCCGGCAGAGGCCGCCGGGCCGGGGGATCGCGCATCGCCCCGGGGCCACCCCGGCGCTGCCCCGGGACGGCGGGGCCGCCCCCCCCACCCCGCCCCGCCTTCCCGGAGCCGCGGAAACTTTCCCAGCGCGGCACCCTCGCCCCGGCTGCCCCCCCGGATCCCACCCGGTTGCCCCCCGGTTCCCTCGGGCGCCGCTCCCCGCCGCGGCCCTCCCGCCGCCCCGCAGGGCGCCGGCGCGGCCGGGCCTACGCGCGGCCGGCTGGGCGGCGGCGGGAGGGCCCCGGTCCGGCTCCGTGGCGGCAGCGGCGGCGACGGGAGGAGGGCCCCGGTGCGGCCCGCGGCCCCCGGGGCGCTCACCTGGGCGCACGGTCTTGAGGCGCACGGGCTCCCTGAAGTGCCGCACCACGGCCAGCGTGTCGCGGTGCGTGAGGCCGCTCACGGGGGTGCCGTTCACCTCCAGCAGCACGTCCCCCGGCGCCGGCGCCTTGCCCGAGAGCAGCACGGGGCCCTGCGCGCCCTCGCCGCCCGCGGGCAGGCGGCCCGCCAGGTACGGGAACTCGCCGCGCTCGGCGCCGCCGCGCAGCAGGTCGGGGTCCGGGCCCGCCGGGCCGCCCCAGGACACCACGCACTCCTGCACCTTGCTCAGCCAGTGCCGCTTCTTGCGCAGCGTCTTGGACATGCCGCATTACACGGGGCGACGCTGCCCGCCCCGCGCTGCCGCCGCCGCCGCTCCCGCCCCGGCCGCGGCTGCCGCCCGACTGCCGCCCCTCCGCGCCGCCCCGGACACGCCCCCGAGCCACGCCCCTCCAGGCCCCGCCCCGCCCGGACTGGCCCCGCCCCTCACTGACCGGCCCCGCCCCTCCGTGCGCGCCCCTGGACCCCCCCGGGGCCGGTCCCGCCGCGCGCCCCCGGGCTCGCCACGCCCTGGACACGCCCCCTCCAAGGTGGCCACGTCCCCCCCGCCGCTGGCCACGCCCCCTCCCTGGGCGGGGCCGGGGCCGTCACGGGCGGCGCGGCTGCGGGACCGGGGCAAAGTGCTGAGTCTGTGGGCTCGGCCCCCCGGCAGGGACCCCTCAGGGCCCTACCACGGGCAGGGTGTGGCCCCCTCGCCTGGGAAGAGCCCCTCAGCCAGCGCCCGCCCCGGCCGGAGTCTCCCCTCAGGCAGGGCTCTCCTCAGGCAGAAGTCCCCCTCAGACAAGAGACCCCCTGGTTGCTCCCACCCCAGGCAGGGGCTCTGCTCAAACAGGGCCAGAGTTGTCCAGGAATCTCCTTTCAGACAGGAGACCCCAATCAGCACCCACCCGGGTCTCCCATCAGTCAGGATGTCCATCGGGATCTGTCCTCAGAGAGGAGCCCTTGTCAGCCAGGACATTCCCTCAGCTGAGAGCCCCCAGCCAGTTCTCACCACAGCCTGGACCCTCCTTCACTCAGGATCTTCCTTCACTCAGGATCTCCCCTCACCCAGGATCTCCCCTCACTCAGGATCTTCCTTCACTCAGGATCTCTCCTCAGCCAGGAGCACCCCTAAGCCAGGACCACCCCTCACTCAGGATGTCCCCTCAGCCTGCATCTCCCTTCGACTGGGATCGCCCCTTGGACAGGATCTCCCCTCTGCCACCCCACCAGTACCTCCCAGCATCATTCCCAGTGCCCGTCACTGTCCCTTGCTGGGCGTGAGGTGGGATGTGGGTGCTGAGAGGGGTGTGAGTGTTGAGGTGGGGTGTCCATGCCAAGGTGGGGTGTCCACACTCCACTCTCCCTTTTGTATTTTCACTTGGCCACCATCCCTGGAACCAGTTGGTTCAGAGTCGCTCGAGCACCTCCGGCCAAAGCAGAGCTCAGAACAGTGGGTACAATCTACATACAATACTTCTTCAACTGGAAAACACAAACCCAGCGCGTTTGCCCTCCACATGAGCCCGTTTATTTAGCTGTGTATCACCGACCTCAGCGTAGCAATCAGCTCATGCTGGGTGTGGATGACATGCCAGGTACTCGCCATGCACATCCCAGTGTTCGGGAGCTCAGCTGCTGAACAAATGAAACAGTAAAAACTACAAACCGCAGGCAAGTTCATTCAAAATCAACGTCACCGCCATAAAAGTTGGAAATTAATCCTTTGAAAGCTCTCTGGTTCAAATTGCAAATTTCACTGCCCGGTCCCCAAACTGTTTTTCTCTCACTCAGAGGCTGAATTTCCACTGCAAATCTCTTCAAGGTCTAGGATGTTTTAGGAGTGTCTTGAAGGCTCCAGCTGTGCTGAAGTCCTTAAGGAGCAGCAGGGCTGCAATAAAACCCAGTCCTGAGAAGGTGTAGCCTTGCCATTGTTTGCAAATAAAGAGGAGTGACTTTGCATAACTCAAATAGTTCTTTCCTCTCCGGAGGAGGAAGTGAAGAAGCCGGTACCTGCAGAGTCCAAAGAATGTTTGCTGAGTCGTAAAACAATGGGTTTTTGTTCCCAATGCTGTGTCCCTGTGTTCACCTCAGTTTGGACCACATGGTGAGTTAGAAGTATCAGATTTCAACACTGAATTTGGCAATGGTAAATAGCAGCAAGTGAAAACACCAAGAAACCTGCTCATAACAAATACCAATAACTTCTACAACCAGGCATTTTCCAGTTCTCACAGATTCCTCTACCTTTATGGCCTGTTAATCTATGACTTATATAGTAGATATTACCAAAAAAAAAAAAAAAAAAGGCAAGAATGCTTCCAAAGAAGTCAGAACACCAACCTTATCATAAAACCATGCTTGCTGGGGTAAAGCAGTGTAATCCAAACTTGTTTGGGGACATTAACCAAATGCTCCTGATGCATCTGAGGTGTAGTGCCTCCGGCGTTAATGGAGTTGCAACAAGCACAGGTTCAGCTCATCGTGTTCGCTGCTATTTGAGGCACGTTGGGCCGCCTGCCAACAGGCACGGAAAAAAACTGCCAGAGATAAATTTTCTTTCACACTTGCAGAATGGAAGCAAGGAGGCTGAAAGCTTTGTGGCGCTCACGATGTGGACATGAAAAGGGACACTGTCACGTTATTTAAAGGCAGCCTTCGATATTTCACACGGGAATTGTGACACCAGGCATGAGCTGTAATTTATGAGCTGCTGACAGTGGCTTGTGCCAGATGATCCAGAGAACACGCACAGTCCTGTGTAGGCAGTGTGGACATCTCAAGGAGGAGATGAGTGTCCTCTTGGCTCCAGGGTGGGCAGTTTGTCCATCCCCCTAAGCAGACGGCTTGTCCGCCCCTCATCTTAGGAAAATGCAGCTCACTCTTTTCACTGACTTAGTCTTCAAACCCTGGAGTGAAATCTCAGTGCATTTACACACATGAAATGGGGGACAGCTGCAGAAACGCTGAGCTCGACGTGCCAGTTAATAACACTGGTAACCAAAAGCAAGTCATGAAGCTGCTGTTCCTTCAGTGAAAGTCCTGCTGTCTTTAATGGTTTGCTTCAATATAAACTTAAAAGCCAGAAAAAGCTGCCTAATCCTCTGCAAATTTTATGATGCCGGTAAGTTGGGCAGGTTCATTGTACATCACATGAACCATAATCCTCTTCTGGAGCTGCACGTTTACCTGCCAGTCTCGTATTCTGAGAGAGTAAATAGTGGTTTTGGATGTATTTCTTTTCTCTGCACCACTTGCTAATCCCCCATCTCCTCTTCAGCACCTGATGTGTGGATGCTCTGGCATCTACTAATCCAGGGGATGTGTGACACCACTCAGAGAGTGACCACAGCCTATGAGGCTCCTTGGGGCTCTGTCCAAGGGTTCCTGTTGTCATCTCTGATGGGGTGGACACTGCTGGAGGTCAGAGCAGCCTCCCCAGGCCACTGTGCAATTTTGGGGTAGCCCACCCCACACAGCACATCTCCCCCAACGGGACCTGCTGTACTGTTCTCCGTGGACAAACTTTGAAACACAAACAAGCTGCTTTGGAGCTGGCTGACAGTTTTAGTTCTCGTTTATGCCACGTGGCAACCAGTCCGTTCGTCCTGCTTTCCTTCCTCCCCCCGGATTACTCATCTCAGCTCCCAGACACGTGAAGTGTCTGCACTCACCACAATCCAAGGGAATGTGCTCTGCACCCCCACCAGCCCCAGCCTGCCGAGGGCTGAGGAACCGTTTGTTTACTGAGCGCTGGCGTTTGAGATCTCAGCGAGCTGAAAGGGGCCATCAAAGAGACATCAGAGCTCCAGCATCTCCAGTTCATCACCTGTCACACCATGGCAGCTGCCAGCCCGCCCTGCTGTTGGCAGCACATGTAGGATGCCACTGGAGGAGGGTGCTGAGCTCTGCCACATCAGAACAGAAACAAACTGCTTCAAGGCACTGCAACTTCTTGGTAGGCAGGGAAGCAAAGTTTGTTTATCACACCGCCAAAGTTCAAAGGCAATCAAAACAGCAAAAACATGTCAACCTGCTGTTTAATTAGAGCATGAAGACACACTTTCTCAGAGAGGTTGGGAAAGGAATTGTGGCGTTACGTTTGCACTCCTCTGAAGTCCTTTTCCTCGTGCCCAACACTTGTCATGCAAATCTCAGTGCGGGTCAGCAGTCCTGTGCTTACAGAGAAGAGACTCCCACAGAGGTAAGATACTCCCACAACACACACACACACACACACAAAATAAGAACAACTCCCTCCTCAGCAAGGATGACATGAAAGCAGGTTGCACCAGCACAGAGCAGTGCACAGACATTTGTATGTGCAGAAGTGTGTGACTGGGCACGCAGGAGCTCCAGTCGTCTCACAGCAACACTGCCTGACCACAAGGCTGTTCCAGCTTTGGGGAGAACCAATGGTGATGGTTGACTGCACTGCATTAACTGAAAACAAAAATAGTTGCCAGGGAGGAGAAGTGGGCACAATGTTCCTCCCTAACAGAGCACTCATCTCAAACACGGGGTAACAAATTATTCAGGAAGCTCTCTGCCTCTGAGGAAACACAAACAAGCCACGGCTGGATAAGAGTGGTTCAAAGCCAGGCACTTGCTGTTCTGTGGACAGACATATCCAGGACTGCCTGTTTGAAACCTGTGTGACCCTAGGATACATTTATCTGAAGGCAAACTTTTAAACTTGTCAAAAATTCACTTGTATAGGAGGAAAAGCGGCCATAGAAGCAGATCTTAGCAGGGAATTTCGTGAAGCTTAGAGAATAAATCCAAGCTTTAATAGAGATCTGTGTCACCCTGGGCTGACTAATCCCTGGTGTCTGGGCTCCTCACCTGGGAATGGAGAGTGTATCAGCCCAGCAGGCTGCAGATGGGAATCAATGGATGCTTCAACGATGCAAAGCTGCTCCATAAATCTGCCTGTATTTCATAAACACATCAGCACAGCAGGCAAATGAGAGGCAGCACCAGCAGGAATAGCATCCATGCAGTGGTGTGTCCTTCTGTCCTCTCTCTGCTCCCCTTCCACAAATAAATAACCACCCTTGAGCAATGTAGATATTATCTAGCAATCGCTGCATAAGATGGAATCACAGAATCATAAAATATCCTGAGCTGGAAAAGACCCACAAGGGTCATTGAGTCCAATGCACAGGACACCCCAAAATCCCACCCTGTCCCTGAGAGCATTGTCCAAATGCTCCTGGAGCTCTGGCAACCTTGGGGCTGTGACCACTGCCTGGGGGACCCTGTTCAGTGCCCAACCACCCTCTGGGGGAAGGACCTTTCCCTGATATCCAAACCTACAACTTCCCTGCCACAGCTCCGTGTTGTTCTCTC